GACCATGCCGGGTCGGGTCAAGTACATACCAAATATAGTTATGGACTTAGACATTAATCCAACACCAACAACCATAGATTCTTTCTGTGAGATTTGGTAGTATGAGGTGAGCCTCCTCCCTGTAACCATGGGTCGAAGGTACCAGGGCCGGCCTACTATCCAGTTATGTAGTACGCTAGTTGTTGTGTGATATATGTTGTGTTAGCATGATCTGGTTGAAATATACTCCAGGGCGAGGCCTAATATGATATGTTCAGGTTGAAATATACCCCAGGCCAGGGCCCATTATGATATGTTCGGGTTGAAATATACCCCAGGGCGGGGCCCATTATGATATGATCGGGTTGAAATATACCCTAGGGCTAGGCCCAGTTGTATGTTTGGTATGTGGCATTTTAGGGAAACTCACTAAGCTTTGTGCTTACGGTTTTCAGTTCATGTTTCAGGCACTTCTGTTTTCAAAGGGAGGAACTCGGGATGGTTGCAGAGCACACACCTCATGTTTTCTCATTTTGTGATTTACTCTAATATTGATGATGTATCGATACACTTTGATAACTTTGGTTTTATGAAAATGTTATGGCTTGATGTTTATAAATCTAAAAACGAAAAATTTGATGGTCTTATTTTTGGGACGTTACAATTGATTATTTGGAAAATTTTGGCTGGATGTTTATGTGGTTCGATGTGAACAATACATGATTATCAGATCACCCACAACCAAGTTTTTCACAATATCTTCCCAAGTTGGTTACCATAATATTTGTGGGTGCTGATGCAGTACAAAGAGAGAGGGCAAGAGAGACAGAGATGAAACCGCTAATGCCACCTGTGCGCCACCATCTTCAACCGTTCGCAGATCTACACTCTGGGTGGCTGTTGTCGGAGATGGCTTTGTCTTCTCCATCTGAACTCGTATTCGTTGATGTACACCCCAACAAATCCGGTGGTAGTCAACGGTGTACAAACCAACAATCCGATGGTCATCTATGAGAGAGAGTAGTTTCCAACGTCGATGGACGGATGTGTCAACATATTTGCTACCCCCTCGCCGAAAAAAGGGGAGGCGAATTGGGTTTAGGGCAAAGACTGTGGTGTGCAATGACTGTGGTGTGCAGGTGGCGATTGTAAAGATGAGATCTTTTTTGCAGGCAGAGATAGAGGCGTAGAGGTGGTGGACTGTGGTTGTGGCTTAGTGGAGTCATGGGTTTGGGTGGAATTTGCAGATGAATGTGAGTCTATGGTTTTGTTGTGCTCGTTTCTAGGGAAGAGGGAAGATAGAAGGAAAAGGGGGGGGGGGAGGGGGAGGTTGGTGGTATTTATTTTTTATTTTGTAATTTTTTAATCTAGAAAATAATAAAAAATAATATAAAATTTTAAAAAGAAGTTATTAAGAGTAAAATAGTCATTTTATGTATGTAGGGACGGTCCGAGTGAAAAAATAATAATACAGGGATGGTCCGAGTTAATTTTTAAATAATAGGGACTAAAAGTGTGTTTTGGTATCTACACGAGGGACGATTCGTGTAATTTACTCTTACTTTTTGATTCATCCACATATTTTTAAAATCAATGGACAGTTATGCCCCTCAGAGTAATCCTTTGTAATAATTAAAAGAATAACCCCTTTATCTTCCCAGTTTTCTCGACACCCATCCTGGAGACCTTTAACCCATACCGTCTCCGGAAACCGCTCCCTCTTCGGTCACTTGCAAAATCGATGGGTAGGTAGCAAAATCACCCGTAAAAGCATTTAACAAACCACCAGCAAAATCGAAGATGTCTGCAAGTACCAAAATTAAAACCGACCTTTAAAATTTGATTTATTGGTCGATGGGGTTTTAAGGTTTTAAGATTCGATGCAGAAAAGTTCAATATTTGGTTAGTTCAGGAATTATTTTGAGCTTTCATCATCGGTGACAAGTAAGGATTCCAATCTAACGCTTTCTATCGGCTGGTGTAGGAGGGTTTCTTGAAAACAACGGAGGGGCGGTGGCGGGAGGGCCTTTTGGAGCGGGCTTAGTCCCGGAATGGAATCGATCGGATATGGGTGTTTCTCTGGAAGTTCCGGTGATGCTTGTCGCTTTTATCAAGAGAAGATGAGAGGGTTTCTTGAGGAGATGGAACTGTGTGTACACACCATACCGATGTTATAAATGAAAGAGATAAAAAGGATATAACACCCTACACCAGTGTCATATAACCCGCTGTTTGTGCTTGCTGACGCATCTCCTTGGCTCTATTCGACATCTTTGTTCTAGCCTTCTGGGTATTTAGGTCTTAGTCTCTCATTGAATACTCCGTTATATCCAATGTTCTCGTCGATTCAACTAAGCTTACTGAGTACTCGTCTTCGTCTGAAACCATTGATTCCTAACAATGATTCATTCAGGTGACACGCTTAGAGGAACAAAAGGAAGGAAAAAAACAAAGAGGGACTCTGTTGGAGATTGTGGTTGAACGGGACGACTAGAAACTTGAGCAGACGAGGAAGATTACCGACAAATAGAATTGAAGATCACTTATCGTTTGTCGGCCAAGATTGCAGGTTGGAGAAGAATTGCAACCGCGTGTGCGTTGTTTTTGGTTTAGAAGAGTTTACTAAAAATCAATGCTACCTTTGAATAATTTAATTTAGAATATAAATGAATGAAGGGCATAATTGTAAACTTACATTAAAAAGCAGTGAATGCAAAAGGATCCGTGGAAATATCACTACCCGAAATCAAAACTGACACAACATTTAAATAAAAAATGTTATTATTTTGCTAGAAAGTTGAATAAAAGAAGTTGGTTCCTATTTACCGTATAGATAGTAAATTCTTATAACGGAATTTGAGCAAAAGTAAGCTGTTACTTATGCAGTTTGACCATAACATGAGGATATATCATCTAGGGTTGTTATTTATGCAATCTCATACTGTATAGATAGTAAATTTTGTTTTGTAATTCTTATATATATATTAAAGATGACCATTTCATTAAATTTCATTAAACAGTGAACTTCCTGATTTTTTTGGCCAAAATGGCCCATAGGTTTTCATATTTTGAGTTGTTCAGATTTTTGGCAGTAAAGTTTGTGGTATTGACAATTTGGTCCCTTAGAAGATAAGAATGGAGCTGGTACGTGTCGTTCCCACGCCTTCCCCCACCGGTTCTGCATACCTTCCCCCCACCCGCTTTCTCATCCACTCATATTCGGATTTCACCAAGAACCCGCTCCTGAGTATCACTTAACGAAAGAAGAGAACAAAATTGAGAGGATTTGGAAGGAAAACAGAGAAGTTTGGTTGCTCCCTAGTTTTTTTAGAAGAGAAGAGAAGAAGAGAACGGATTTTAGAGGAATTGTATCGTTCCAAACTTTCCTCCCAAATTGGGAGGAATTGGAGAGAAAGAAACGCATGGAAGATAAAAAGTTACCTTATGACGAAAATACCCTTAGCCTGATGATAAAAGGATACGTTCCCTGTCTTCTATTCTACCTTCTTGATCGCCTTGCCTTCTGCCTTTGTAACAACTGGTACGCACAATTTCTTCTTATTCTTATGTTTTTTTTTTTTTTTTTTTTATGTTATTCTTCTGTTTGGAGATAAAAAACAGCTTCAAACTAGTTTTTTTTGGAGATATTCTGTTCTTGATCATCTTCCCTGTCTTTTGTTTTTGGTTATTCTTCTGTACGTAATTTCTTCTTATAAACAACAACCGTTTTCATATTTCAAGTAAAAAGGGTAAAATTGGAAATAAAATCAAATTGGAAATATAAAACATGCAACAAATTTCTTCTTATTCTTATGCTGTTTTTTTTTTTTTTGTTATTCTTCTGTTTGGAGATAAAAAACATGCAACAAATTTGTTTTTCCTTTCTGCTCACAGTACTAAATAGATATCAGCAAATGGGCAGAAATATATAGAAAGAAAGATAACAGTTGTGTAGAAAGAAACATAACAGTTGTTTTTCCTTTTTGTGGTTTTCCCAGATATACCCTTTTTATTCAGTCACTTAAGCAATTAAGAAACTATAAGTTGGTTTTTCAAATAAGTCTTAAATTCAATATTAAAAATTAATTTTTTTTGTACATGCTTAAGTACTTATTGTTTGTTGTAGATGTATAATCAGATTTAATTTTATTTTTTGGTATTTTGATTTCAAATAGACAAGAAGAATGTGATCTAGATTTCTGGATTCTTTCATATCCAAACACATCCTAGGTTTAAAGATCTATAATTAGACTAAAAAATTAGTTAAAACCTATTAAATTATAGATTTTGTTTTAGGAAATTTTATATTTAAGTGAGACAAAACTTAAATGCAAAAATGCAGGAAATTCACATGAAGTCGGTGTTTCTAGTCTTACATATATATTTATTTATTATATTTATATATGAAGTTCTGAAAATTGGCGTTAACTATTAAAGAGAGAATGTAGTTGTTTTAGTGGAAGATTAAACAACTGGAGTTGCCATGCTAAAC